GACTCGGCAATTTCGAAACATCAGTATTCCTGTTTTTGTTTTATGAAAATCCAACTATTCTTTTCACAACATAGTAGTTTTTTTGTTTCTATCTTGCATAAAAAATACGTTTTGTAACTTGTACCGTGAAAGCCCGGGTAAGGTTCACTGAAACACAAATCATACCTCCGTGTATAGCGCTGTAAATCTCGAAACGGGATTGTTTTTTATAATATAAAATCATATGAAATATAAAAGTACAGAATCTAATACATTTATTTATTTTTGTTTCTCTCTTACAGTTGAGTCCCGGTTCCAAGTTGTCTCGATGGTTCGAGCTGCAACCCGATTCGGATGCGCTACCGTTGTTCAGACCGGAGAGTGGGTTCGTGGACTACCCGCTGGACGACTACCAGTCCACAGACAGCCTGTTACAGAAGAACAAGCCCAAAAGAAGGTCCAACCTCAGCTTAAAACTCCGGAGAGTTACCACATTTTGACAGTTGAGCTCTCGATTTGATTTAGATATTTAACAATCGTTCATCTAAACAGAGAGACAGCCAAATGCACAACGGCGATGAAGTGCGGACCATCTATATGTTCGGAGTTCGTAATCTGATGTCAAATTAGTGTTCAAAACAGGACAATTCCCTTGATTCTTGTTTATGTAAACTTAACAATCTTTTCCTAAAAGAAAACCGCTCATGACATTCACTAGTCCTATTTATTTTTCCTGATTAAAAGGATTTCTATCATTCCACGCTAGGAAATATTCAATTTCAGACGATAATTTTAAAAATCTATCGAAGGCTACTACTATATTATAATACTATGTGGTATTGTAGTTGACTAATTGTGGTTATCTGAGCTACAAGAATTATATGGCGGTTAATACTACATTATTATTTTTTTTATCCTGTTCAACGTATTATTATTATTATTATTTGTCTTATAAGTTTTATATTGTTTTTACTCTTAAGTATTTAATTTTTAACTATATATTATTATACTATTTTAAGTAAGACGCGATCGAACAATTAATATTAATTAACAAATGTTAATTAATATGTAGTTGGAATAAGTGTCGCGAAGAGCAGGTTGCTCTACTGTTGTTTTCACATTAATGGAAAACAAACATTTGTAGAGTACCAAGCTTAAAAGTTGTACGTCGTGTGGATAATATATTAAACTCGTGTATAAAAAAAATAAGTGTATTTTAATCGTGTAAAATTAAAAAACGAATAAACAACAAAAGTTATTATGCTTAAAACGTTTATTATGATTATGTTTCGTTATTATCATTATTTATTGATGTGTAATTGAAGATTTATTGTAAATGTCTATAATTTTGTGAAAAACGCATTTTTTCTTCGATATCACTTATAAGTTTCAATCTAAAAAGATAATGTAATTATTCTCATTCAGTTTTTTTTTCAGTTTTAAAGCAATTACCATGTTTATAAGTTTAAAATGTAAGTATACACGTACAAGTACAATGAAATAATTAACTACCATTAAATAATAATTAGGTCAAGGATTCCGTTCACTTTGTCCGTACTTATATGTTCAGTTTGCACAGGAATTTCAACCACTTTCGTCATAATCAACGTCCCTATATCATATACCTTTAACATCCACAAATACCTAATTTGCTTTCACTGAACCTCTTGTCAAACATGAGAAATGCTTTTTTCGCACAATTGTCATTCCATTGCTGTTTAAATGTTTTTATTATTAAAAATAACATTTCGCTTATGCGCTATATATATTATTAAACATTTGTCAAAGCAACTGAAATAAGTTAGATGGATAATAACATAAGTGTTTACCGTCGGGTATCCCCTGCTGTGATAGTATAAGAAAATGTAAGCTTTATTTTTGAAAGTAAAATAACAGCATACAGAACATTTTTTATTTGTTCAGATGAATAGTATTTCGGTTTTCTTTGTTCAGACAAAACAATTCGTAGCAATTCTTCAGTATATAGTACATAGTACCTATATATATATATTCATATTACGCTTCAAAGCACAGTATCAATATTTTCTGAAAAGTTATTTTTCCTCGTGCAACTTATCGACAGTTGTCTAGCAAATGTTTACGTTCTCAAGATTTTCTTTATTGGCTGCGAAGACATTTAAAAAATATACTACGACTTACGAGAAATAAAAACACTGAATGTAAATCTAAATTTATCTTAAATATACTAGTGATAGCCTCAGGCTTTTTATTTTATGAACAATGTACCTACTTGATTTTGTTATACGCACTCGTTAGTTATTAGGCTTAAACATATACATAATATAGACAAATGTTATATGTTGTAAAATAAAATAAATGTCTATTAAAATATTACCATTTGTTTAATAGGTACTGTTGAGTGTTGGTGCCTATTTGTATTATAATTTTTAATTTGATTGTTACATAATATTAGTTATTGCCTTAACATATTTTAGGCATTTTAACGAAAAAGAAAAAAAACACAAGTATATTTAAATTGAACCCTTAAGTATAAAGTTCTTTGTATATAAGTTAACATTTTACTTTCCGTGATTTGACCGCAGAAAACTTATTAATGCCATAATTAAAAAATATTTTTGAAGCCAATATGTTTTCCATCGATAGAAGAGGGAGTGAACTAATCGTTTTTTTCCAGTTTTTTATTGCTGCCATGTTGAATTCGCCAGTTTATTGAAATACCATTCTACTTCTGCTACAGTAATTGCCACTCGCTGTTATATAGTACAAGATAATCAAAAACTAATATAGACTTTTCAAAAAATGGATGAACATATTACAAAACATATTATAGTTATTTAATTCTTTGAAGGTATTTAATTGGTTGTATATCCAATATTGATGAGGTTTACACTTTTTTTATGTTCAAGTTTTTAAAACTAATCCTTAACCGATTTTGAGTCTAAAACTCTAGAATAATTTTTTTTTGGTAAAATTCAAATATTTCAATAGGTACCCTTATTCTTTTATTTTTCACATTAAAAACACAATATATGTTATGAGTAGGTAATAAAAACTGAAAAACGAAAAAAACTATTGTGTGAATACAAGTTCTACTATTATTTTACACAATTTGAGATGAGTACATTTTCATATTTATTTTGTTGGTACAAAGATTGTGCATTTTTATTAGTACTTACCTATGATGTATGCTTTTCAAGGGTTTTTTTTAATCCCTGGAGTAACATTCAACCACGGCCACGTTCCGAACTTGTCTACTTAATCAAACACGTTTACATAATTTGATAAAAAATATAGACCCTATTTGTCTATTCTTCCTTGGTAGTAAAAATAAAAATAACGAAATGAAGTCAAAGGGACTGTTTCAGGTTCCCACTAGCCAAATGATAACTACCAAACGTTTTGTACAAGTTATTTCTATGGAGAAAATCTTAAAAATGTCTACACAACGTAACGTAATAACATATTAATAATTATTATAACGAGTTAATATTATGAATTATAATAATTGAAACTAAAAAAAAAAGTCGTTTGTTGACTACACAGTGCACACACATCTCATTCATTGCAACCGTGAGGTAAGTACAGTACTTTACAGTAAATTAATCATCAAAAAGATACAATTTTATTACCTATTTAAAACAAATAGTTTATTTAAAATTAAATAGTTTTTGTTACGTAAATTATTTGGGTATGTACTATGTATAGAGATTTATCTTTCTTTGCCTCCTCCACGTATCTATGGAATCGTTATCTGTTTGTACAATATTCAGTCTTGCTAGTATAATATATGTATTATGGAAATTGCGACTTGTTCGCGTCGTTTTTTATACATTCGTACATACATACGGTCGTACGATATTAAATATTATCTGTATCTAATTTGCATTTGACATTAATTTACCGTGACCGTATACATTTATAATTTTTTAATCGTTTTATAAGCCATAAATTAATTGACGTTACGAATTTTGATAAACAGCAAAATACTACTTTACTATTGTGTACTATTTTGACAAATCACAATAATAAAAATTGTAATCTACACTTTTAATTACATTGTATACAGTTATGTTTTTATCGTATATTTATTGTATTGCAGACAATTATTTATTTATCACGATGTATAGAAATAGTTGAATATCATTTCTCGTTTTAACCTATTGTAAAAAACAAAGAAAAAACCGATGACGTATTCCGTAGAGACATTGCTCTTAAAATTAGAAGATTGTCACATAAAAGGTCTAAAATAGTAACATTTTTTATCGTATACAACAAACTAACTTTGTTAAATATCAGTATTTCAGGTTTTGTGAGGGCGCGGGTTTTTGTTTCGAAAGTTAATATTGTCTTAACGTTTGCCCGTGTAAACAGACAAAAATAACAACGGAATCGTACAACCATATTGGAAAAAAAGTAGGTACACATAATAAATGCGGTAAATACTCAGTGTTATAAAACCACCATGCGTCATAAAATCATTTACTCGTAAAATTGGTAATAAAATAGTGACGTTTGAAAAGTGATATATATTTAGTATACGATGTAATAACAATAGTAAACATTATGGATGATTATACGGTACAACGCGGCAAATGCAATAATCTGGCGGTAAATTATACTATATTGATATATCTATTATGATCATATAATTTATCGGATCAAACCAATATTGTAATGAGTATTATAATGACGTTATGACGTATCAATAACGACATAGGTTTACCCATATGGCCATATTGCGCAATGTACATAGGCGGAATTGTTATGGCCCTACCGAGTTATTGAGGTGTGAACAAAAGCGTTTTACACGCGACCATCATGTTTACCTATGTTGTATTAGTCAAAATCGTTGGTGTGTGTGTGTATAATGTATATATACATATTATATATTTATGTATATAATATACACAAAAATGCACATAATACGCGTACAAATACACACACATACGAACGTTTTAACGTAATTAAACGTCGGGGGGCAGTTCCGACACCCCGCTGCAGGGTGAAATATTTCGGTTTTTTTTTGTCCAACCCCGGGCGGTTGACGTATTTCTATGGGGTTTTTTTTTTTATTATTATTATTTTTTAATAATTTTAATTAACTTAAGTACCCCATATTAAACAGCTGGGTTAATGTGTTTGGCACGACGGCGACGATAATCTATATAGGTGCGTATAATATCATAACCGGGCGGTTTAATCAAAATCGCGTATCAGGCACACTCGTGGCGAGACGCGTACACGTCCCGCACGTCGTTATAATTTATAATATTCATCGTCGTCATAACACAATACTATATTGGCCAATACACATCGTCATGGACTATCGCCAAGTATCGGAGAAACAGACTCGTAGACGCAGCAGGACCGTCAGCTGGGACCATTCGGTCAGGGCGGACGGTGAGCCGTTGACTTGCAGGACAACGACGACGGACAGGAGTGCTCTATCGCCGCAGGTACGTCGTTTCAGTCGGAAGCGACAACATTTCGTACCGTCACTTATTGTCATAGTGAAATATAATTATGGTCTGCACGCAAACGTCTGCATCGTTTTACGCGACGGAATCGTACGATATTATTGTCAGTTTTATTTTTATTAAAACGGTCAACGATAACAACTATAGTATATATAAGAGTACTTAAAGTCCACGCGACATAATTATATTAGGTCGTATGTAATAACAAAATATGTAGTATTTATTTTACGTGACGACATAGATAGTGTGAGATGTATATGACGTGTATTTACGTCCGGTATCCACTACTTGGGTAAAAGTGTGGAAACATTTCTAATATTTATTTTAAAATTTTACATGGAGTATTATTGTAATGAAATAATATCAACGAGAAATGAGGATGCGACATTAAGTATCGGAATATTATAAAATATGTGGCGATATATTATAATTATTGTATACTGATATGTCATGTGGTGGTAACCGACTAACAGAATATTAAAATACAGATTACAATTTATTTGTTGAAAGTATAATACGTTTTTAGGTGACTGATTTGTAATGGTAAAATACATTGTGATGCCAGTGATATATATATATAATACAATAAATAAACACAACTTATGGCCATTATAGAGAATTAACATTTTAACTCTCATGAATAATTTGTGAACTGTTGACTCAATCATAACTAGTTTTACATTGTGTTAAGGTTAAGTCAAATTAAAAAAAAAATTCTTTAACGCCTATAAATTAATTGATTGTATTATATTCATTATTTAAACAATTGGAAAGAATGATTTTAGTTAGGACAAAGGTCTTATGGAATTCGTTTTCAATTAAAAGGATTGAATTAACTGCAAATTAATTATCATTGTTTATTTGAACGACCGATGTACATGATCGTAATGGCGTTAGTGCTATAGAATCCAATAAAAAAAAGTTTTTCAATAAAAGTTGAGTTTCAAATTTAATGTGCCAATTTCGGTTTGTGAAGACAGAAAAATCCACGAGAAGTAACCGTTTCCAAATGTTATTTAAGTTCCTAATATATTTCTTAAAATACAAGTCTACTGAGTAATGTACTGATATATATTATAAATAACTATAAGCAATTTAATGAACTATTTAGATGTATAATATTATTATGACAATACGTCATAAGTTATTTCTTCTTACTCTTCTTGTTTTTAATTATATTATTTTTTTAATCGGTGTTTGTCATTTGCGCATCGATAATTTGGTTGGTCCTGTGCACATTGCGTGTTTCAAATATTTAACGCAGTAGTGAGTATTAGCGTAGATTAGTTAATATTATTAGGGCGGAATAATATATCCATGTTATTGGTATACATATACGAGAATCTATATTTTAGGATCAAGAAGATATCGATTTAAAAATAATTAGGCATCTAATATTAAATAGATAATTTAAAATTCTAAAAATGTTGTATTTTTTTTAAGAATCTTAGGAATATAGGAATATAGTTAGACTAAGGTAATTAAAAAACAACATATTACCTTAACACATTTTTACTTAACAATTTATAACCTCGTGAAGTCGAATAATATAGGTTCATGCAATTGCCCAAAGATAAATCTGGAAAAAGGGGGGGGGGGACGATACATCTAATATTTAATTCCTTGTACTGTATTGAATATTTTTAGTATAACTTTGATTAAGATGTTAAATATAAATTAAAGTTTCTAAGTTTTAATTTTTTTCACTTTTAACTAGTTTTAAGGATTTAAATTGCATTATTGCTAAAAAAAAATTATGTATAAGAAAGTGAGTTTTACCATCTTACTTTGCACACTTTGGGATAAGATGAGATGGACAGATTTTTAACCGTTTTTTTTATACCCAAGTCCCTACTCAGGCGGGACCATTTTCCATTTTTCTCCACACACATTTTTGATCAGGAAATGTAGACCTGTATCCCTTCGAATATTAAAATCATATATTATTGAAATGTTGAAATTCATCAATTAAATGGTCAAGAATTGATTTATTTTAATTTATTAAAATTAAAAGTGAAGGAATGAAAGTTATATCTAATTTTAGCAGGAATATAGATACTACTATCTGCTTCTTCGTCTTCGTTACGCGCCAATGTGGGTCAGCTATAATTATAGGTACTCTTGTGTTTATATCTATCCATAATAATCTCTACATATTCATTCCACCTGCATTATCAATGCATATAGTGACCATTTTTTATTCGACTTGACCTATCCCCGAGAACTTCCATTCCCAAATATTCACTTATTGTATCATCTTAAATTTGTTTATGTTGTTTTTCATTCAATGCACAAAACTTGGTTCCATTAGTACCTACGTCGTCAATAATTTTAAACCATTATCCTCCAATATGCTAAATAGTACCTTTTTTTAATCGCATTAAAAACTCTACGGACTATCGTGGTCCGTAGTCTTATCTCGAGCCGATCAATCAAGTATATAAACGCATTAGGGGCACTTAACGACATTACACGCTTTATATTATAATAATATACTATATACACCCCCGCCCCCTACCAAACAAATACATGTAAAAATTGATCATAGTCATAATACGAGAAGGTTTGCTCAAGTAGTGGCTCCGTTAATCAAAGGGGGGACGATCGACGTCCGGTGACCAGAGTCGTGGTTGAACTTTCCGATGACGCGGCGCATCATGCCCCCGATGCCACTTGCCGACGATCTACCATTTTTCTTGTCGGTCGGCTGCGGAGATGTCACCTCCACCGCCTTAGCCGCCAGTTGAAGTCCTCCACCGTCCAGATCGACGGTATGTTTCCTCGACGGCCCGGACGGTGGTTTTGTCACCGCTGACCTTACAAGCGATTCGAACTGGTCCACGGTCTTCAGCACGTCTGCAGTGTCACGATCGTGGGACACGTGACGGCTGGCGGGTGAAACGGGAGCAGCGGGTAAAATGGGAACAGCGGATGAAATGGGAACCGAGTGCGTTTCGACGACCACAAGAGCCGCGATCGCGATTGCCACCGCCGAAAATCGCATCATGTTGCTGGCGTGTGAGTCTCGCGGATTATACAGGTGATTCCTTTCGCGTACGACGCACATGGTGGTTGCGACCAGCCACCGTTTATGGTGACGTATATTATATTATAACCTAACCTGGTAGAATTTAACGTGTGACGTACCTCTATAACAGCTCCGGCGACGATGTCAGTGTTGCGAGTCGAATGAGGAGGAAAAGAGTTGCTAGGCGATCGAAATCGAATAAAATCGTCCTAGTAGTTTTCGTTGTGTTGTCTATCTAGTGTTTTTTTTTTGTTTAGACTTTTACATAAAATAATAAGCCAGTAGTACCTATATTGTATTTGGTCGATTAAAAGGTTATAATATACACTGGTTTGAACAGAACAGATCCGACAAATTTCAATCTGAACAATCATCGCAGGAACCGAAAAGAATTTAATCCCACGTTATCAGAATAATTCGCGGAATTACAAAATGATGAAAATCAATACTTTAGAAGAACGTATTCATTAGGTTGAACTAATTTACTAGTAATTTTCTACTAAATTTCTAACATTTAAATTTGTTTGTTGGGTGTTGTTCTGTACATATTGTTTGTATTTCAGAGTATTGTAAACGGATTTCCTGTAATGTATTAACAATTTGAACCTTAAATTAAAATCCATAGATACTAGTTCATATTTTATAATTGTATTATAATATAATTTTAATATTGTATACAGATACCTATTTATAAGTATATAAGCATACATTATTCTCATTACTCATTTATTTCCGTTTATCCAATTCAATTTCATTCTTAAATAATGGGTTGGAACTTTTGTAGTTGTTTGTTTATTATTATTATTTCGTTGTATGCACGACGCGTTATCGACGTCGTTTCTCCGTACTGTTAGATTCGCGTACCTATATGAGTGTATGATCAATGACGTACAAGCACATACATTTATTTATTCATATTATGCATAGTTAATTGTATGTCGCATATTGTATGTATTTATGAATTTTACACATCAATAAACGATGGCTACAAAGAGGTAGTATTGTTTTAAGAGAGCCTTCTCTGCCATCTCTTAAACAGGGTAAAAAAAAGGCTCATGCATACAATTATTAGGATGCGTCATAGACATATTTTTCCCAAGGCTGCAGTAGATTCACGCCAGACAGTAATATAGTAAGCGCGGCATCATAGACACCTCTATTTATAGAGTACACAGAATATTGTACTTACAAAATAATAATGTAGTTTCGTCTATTAGATACATAGAACATTTCCATCAAATTGGTGCTGAGATAAAGGTTTTTTTACATTTTTTTAATACGAAATAGTATACAAAAAAATCGATACAATAAAAACCAGTTGAACGCTTGAATGTTAAGTAGCTAAGTGCGTATTATGATATATTTATGTACAGCTGGAAGGCTATAGTTTTCGATTTAGTGACGTGTTCGGGAATTTATGAAGGGTCTGAAAGGATTTGACGTGAAAAATCCAAAACTATTAGGGAAGCGAATCAGATTTCCACCTGGTCCACCCGGATACCGGGGGAGTTAATACACACCATCGGAACAACAATGTCGACTTACATAGTATATGTCATTATTATTATATTATGTGCACCGGTTGTTACGTATTCTATATGGTAAAATGTCTATTTAACGGGTATTCACTAACGAGACTTTAGGTTGGTACTCCGCGGTGGATTCGTTTTTATTATTCTCCATGTCCGATATTTTAGTGGTTTAGGTATAAATGTTTTAATGTAATATTATACTGTCTAATAAAAGTATGTTAATTGAAAAGAATAGGGTACGATTTTGAGTCTAATTTTGATTCATTCAAATAAAACCAATGGTTTAAAAATTCCCGAAATTAAATGCAAATCATAAAGTTTTATATTTGTTTTACTAGATTTATAGAAATTATAAGGTTCAATCATATATTATGTTATATTAAGAAGAGAGCGATGAATGTATTGAATATATAATGATG